GGGGGGGGGGGGGGGGGGGCAAAGGGATGGTTCCGGTCTCGGGTGCCACTTCCGATGGCCCTCCAAGTTCGTGCTTCGCCCTTGCAGTGTTTTATCTCCATTTAAATGTATGTAAAATAATCGATTCTTCTCGAGCCTGCTTTTTTTCACCTGAAATCGATACATTTAATGGATTTAAATGGTGGAAAAACAATGTTGCCAACTTGCAAAATTGCCTTCTGTACACGGAAAAATCCCGTGCGTTTCGTTAAGAATTTTAAGGCTAATTTTCAATATTTCACTACTTTGAACTCATTGTCAGCCGAAGCTAGATTTTTTCGATATCAATGACTGACGTGCAAAACCACGCATCTCTATTGTGATTTTTCAAAATTCCCTCTCCTATTTTATTCTCTCAGGGAGAAACTAACCAACTTCATAGATTTAATCCTACACAGAATATTCTTCTAACAGAGAAGGAACGTCAAAGAAGTTATCAAAAAATTATGTTGCATATTTTTAAAAAGAAAAAAAATAAAGTATGACGGGTAGTGTATAACGACACAAATGGAGATATGTGGTTTCGGACTTCGGCCATCGATATTCGATTTCTTTCCTCAGTAATGGGCTCATCGAAAGATTTAAGCAAACTCTTATTTTTTCACCGGCTCTCGTACTTAAATTAAACAATGCGCTATTGGAAGCAGGACATAAACTTGGCTTAATTTTGTTTTAAGCGAACCGGTATTTTTCACTGAAAAAAATAATATGCTGTTTTAGCACCTAGGATGTCAAAAATATGTCTGGTGATCCCAAAATGCTGCCCTTACTGCCCTCGCAGTTAACTTAACATCCTACGAATGCAAATTCAACTGCGTGGGAAATTAAAGTAGCACCCTAGGAACACCAGACACTTTTTTGACATCCTAGGTGCTGAAACAGCATACCATTTTTTTCAGTGTTGGCTCATTTTGTGACGAAATTTGTGTCAATAGTGTCACCACACAGATGTTCATAATAGATAACACAAGAAAGTCGCTCCTAATAAGACGCACTCTGGCGTTCTGCGACACTTACACACCACATGTGCCTGTCTTCCCAAAAGTTATCGGGCAACTAAAAACATCTTTTAGTTAACGCCTTGCCGCCACCCCTTTATGGGACAACCCTCGTCCCCGTCGCCTTTTCCAAGGTGATATTCAATCCAAAGCTTGTTCGAGCAACTTCTTCTCCGACATTCTTTGCACATGTTGATAATAAGTTAAAACTGGACCTGTAATCTACTCGCAAAGTTCGCTAAAACCACATCCTTATCTTAATTTAACATCAGTGGCGTGGCGTGCTGTGCGACACATAAGTTGATCTGCCATTTACACCTAAAAAAGGATCGATAAACATAGGTGTTCGCGACGAAGGCTTAAATAATATATTCTTTACCATAGCTTCAAACAGAGGCGCGGCCCTGGTAAAAATTGGCGATAGGAGCTGCGTTTCAAAATACCATAGGAGTTCTCATAGCCGACTAAAGAAGGCTATTGAAAATCATATAGCTGGCTGTAGAAAGCGGAGCAAATCATATAGCCGGGCTATACGAAGCTATAAAAAAGTAAACGGTCGGGCTATAGTTCCTATCGCCGGGCTTTACACTTTATCGCCATTGGCTATAAAAGGCTATAGGAAATTGTGTAGAAATTCGTGTGCTTTGGAAATCATTAAGTTTGATACGGAACTACCTTAGTATTTACAAAACACACATTATATTTTCCTTAAAACATATTTTTTTTTCATCATTTAAAATGAGAATTATCCATACAGAGTGTGCAAACATTTCAAAATCATGAGTTGGAAAACGCTGACTCCGCAAGATTAAATATTAGAGCCTAACACAAAGCGGAGCGGCGGCGCACTGGCGCCTACAAACCTAACAGGGATACTTCACGCATTGCGCAATGCGTGAAGTATCCCTGTTAGGTTTGTAGGCGCCAATGCGCGTTTCGCGCTCTCTGCCCACCCGCCGCGCCGCAGCGTGCCACGGCGTCTGAAGCAACTATTTCACACTAGAGGTAATGCACAATATCACAAGAAATTGAGGGCGCTCCAACATAATAAGAATGACAGGCATCCTTCAAAAGTACGGAACATTCCTCGCAAAATAAATCAAGATACTACGGCCCAAAAAGAGAGCGGTGGTCCAAAAACTAACTAAGTCCTAGTATCCGTATTTAATAACGTTTAGCATACACTTTATCGCCTGGCTGTTGCTTAGTCGCCATCGGCTATAAAAGGCTAAAAGAAATTGTACAGTCGACTACAGAAGCTATTTTTTTTTTTTTTTTTTTTTTTTTTTTTTTTAAGAAAGAAATCAATATTTTATTGGATTAGTTACAAGTTGAAACTATGGTGGACAGGCCATAGCTCGAAGGCCTGTCAATACAATCTGAAAGAAACCTATCTTAATATTTAATTTGAAAAATAGAATGAAATTGTGAATCAACCACTGTACTAATTGCGAGGGGCGTTGGTTCATTTGAAAGGTGTTGTTCTCAATGCTTCGGGAAAACTATAAATTATTTTCTGGGGTTCGTCCCCGATTTTTAAATCCCTAAAAACTCATAAATTGGATGAGGGGAAGTGGGGGTTTTTTGTTTTTTGTTTTTCGGAAAAGTTTTGTTGCTACGCAACTTACTTTACTGTTTGCTGTCTTTTTATCAGCTGTTTTCATTCAACAATCATCATTAAGTGAGGTTACTTCCAACACTCAACTGCCATCAACTTACATTTTTCTTTTCCCGCGTTTTTTTTTTTTTTTTTTACGGTTTTTCATGATTGGTTCCATCTTTTTCCTATTGCCAATTTTTCCTCATTAAGTCAATAACCTCCAAGTTTTTTTTCTCATTTCCGATCAGAACTTTTCACGCTGTTTCTTTTCAATGTGTATAAATATGTTTATTATTAATTTCCATTTTCATTTCATCCTTTTTCTTCTGATTTATTTTTTTTAATTTAAAAATTGAACTTTTCAGTTATGATTTTGTTAAAATAATAATAATTTTTATTAATTTTAATTATATGAATTTGGGTGGTGGATTAGTTAATGGTGTAAGATTTTGTAAAATATTGAAATATTGAAAATATTGAAAATAAAATATTGATAAATAAAAATATTGAAAAATATTGAAAATATTGAAATATTTTTTAAAATATTTGAAAAATAATTTTGTATGAAGATTAAAACAAAATTTTAGTTTAAAGTTTACTAAATAAAATTACAATTTTTGAAAACATTTGTTATATTTATTCTCTCAAAGAAATAATTAGACCCGATTCAAAGACAAAACAGAAAATTAAATGAAAATAAATAAAAAAAAAAAAACATGTGAAAGTGAAAAGTGTACAGGAAAAATAAGGGGCTGCGAAGCAGCCCCATGAGCCCCTAGTATGATTTATTTACATTTTTAAGGATAATTTTCCCCCCTTTAGAATTATGTCCCCTTTATAGAGTTACTTACTACTATTACATATTATGATATAATTGATACATGATAAGGTTCTTGGAGTTTCTCTCATTCTACGTGGATTAATTCATGATTTCTTGGTTACCTCGGAATCACCTATTGGTATATCATCGAGGGGGAAGGGGTTGGTAATTGAGGCAATCTGTTGTTCGTCATTCAGTGTTGTTTGTTTGTTTATTAGGATGTTTTTGATGTATTTGTAGACCTCTGTCCAGTTTTTTCTAGAATCCAGCACTATCTTCATTATATTATCTGGTGTTATTTTTTCACTAAGCGTTTTTTCTAATAATTCTTTTTGTTGTTTGTTCTGTTTACAGGAAAAGAAAGTATGTTCTGGAGAGTCATTCTTTGGGTCTTTTTCAATGTCTTTACAAAGCGGGCAAAAAGGATCTTCTCTTCTTTTGAAACGATATAGATAGTCTGCGAAAGCACCGTGGCCGGAAAGGAATTGTGTTAGATAGAAGTCGGGATTCCCATGTCTTCTATTAAGCCAAAGATGTATTTCAGGTATACACTACAGAAGCTATTGGAAATCTTACAGCCGGCTTTAGGTCTATGGTATTTTGGAACACAGATTCTACTGCCAATTTTTACCACGGGGATCCAGCGATTTGCGAACACCGGATTCTCTCCATTCAAACCTATGTTAAATAATCGATTCTTGTCAGAACACCTGGCCCTTTCAATAATCGATACATTTCCATAGGTTTAAATGGAGAAAAACGCAAATTGCTAATTTGCTGGATTTGCCGATGGCTTCAAATGGGGAAATATCGATAATCGATCATTCACGCCTCGCTACTGTTTAACATCCTAGTCATAGAGCGAAGTGAGGGATTCCAATCGGCTCAGCCTTTGTAAAAAAAAAGTGGCAGTATAAGAAAAAAAAAAAGATAATCCGATTTACTGACACAGTCCGAACATGTTTTTCCAGATTTGCCGAGGTATTCATTACTTTACCGATTTATTTATCCCTTCCCCCCTCCCATCCTCGAATCCGAAAGAGCGTGGCGCAAGGGGGACGGTTGGGGGAGGGGGGGGGTTGCGGACGCACGGGTTATACTTTCATTATGAATGCTGTTTTTAATTCGTTTAAAAGTCGGCTCTTCGATTATTCAACGGAGTCCCAGCGGGACCGTTCAGTTTCATCTTGGGCACTTGCAAAAGTTTGTCGGAAAGAGCGTAACTGCACTCTGAGATGAGCTCTGCTGTCCGTATAATCCCAGACTTTTCAGGGCTCGATTGGAAATGGAGTTACGAGCTTTCATATTGTCAGGAAGGGAGTTGGTCAGGGCCTGGTGGAACGAGCTCGATCGTCCTCCCTCCGGCACATCGTGTGACGTGTGACTGTGGCCGTGTGACGTGTTTCCGACGGAGGGTTTCGACGATGACGTTAAATTCGTCGTCACTGGGCGAAAAGGATTTATCTACGAGGGAAGATTTGAAATACAACGTCAATAGGACTCCATTTGGACGTATTTCTATCAAACAGATTTGTGTGCAGCTGAGAAATATGGGGCGTGCTCGTCAGCTCTCTGGCCGTGAGCGTAAGACTGAATGAGAATAATAAAGCGCCGGTGACGTCAACGGAAATGGATGCCGCCGTAGAGTGCTTTAACTGGACTGCATTTTGCAATTTGGAACTATAAATGGACCACTAGACAAGGTACGAATTTAAGCAATCCGATATATGTTTCTTTACCAGAATTTCACGTAGAACACGATTCGTGCGACTAAAATTACTGAAACCAAATCCTAACGAAGATATTAACGCTTTTATTTCACATTGGTTACGAGGAATTTGAACTGCCCGCTCACAAGAAACTCAAAGCTCTACTTGAGTCAAATTGCACACTACAACGGTTTCAGCAAGCTTCTCAATTGAGCAATGTTCATTTCCCACCATGTGTTGTTCAAACTATAAGTAATTTGCTATAGCTGAGCCAAAGCGTCAAGATTGAGGCTGCCAGATTTTTAAATCGCAGATACTGTCATGACAACGTTTAGCGTGCGATGTGAATCACGTAGAGCATTGAGTTTTCATGAGTGGGTGGTTTGAATTTACGCATCAAGAATCATTTAATATCTTCGTAAGGAGTTGATTTCGGTAATTTTCGTTGTGCGCATCGTATTTTACGTGAAATTTTAGTGAAGAAACATGAATAAGAATGCTGAAATTCGTACCTTGTCTAGTGGTCCATTCTGGCCCGGTTAAAAAAAACGTATTTGCCATTAGTTTCCCTGTGCACATAAGTGTTTTTTCAAATGAGCCAAAGTTCATAGTTCCAAATTGCAAAATGCAGTCCAGCTATGAGCCCTGTCCACAACGCTCTCATGCAATGCCGCTCATATATCCCGCATTCAGTTGGCATATAGTTCTGTTTGCTGAATTTAAAATCCCGCTTTTCCAGTTCCTCAAAAGGAATCACGCCCACTTTTACATTGTTTCTTATGCAGCTTTCTAGAGCACACCCCATATTTCTGGCCTGCCCATAGTTCTGTTTAATAGAAATACGTCCATTTGGCAAATAGGACCTACTATTTCTGACGCGTCTGCAAAAGGACATATCTGCACGTGGGGAGGAGGAGGCCACCAATCTTGGAGGACACGCCTCTCAGCCCCCCCCCCCCCCCCCCCCCNCATCGACAGCGCAAGTCCGCAATCGCATTTCTCGTTTGCGGTGTCTGAGAATCTCCACCTCTATGTTATTTTCTTAAGGTGATTCGATGGACGCCATATTTTGTGTCAGAACGGCATATGATATATCGCATCAATCGGTCCCATTTTTTCAGCTACTCGTCATTTTTCTCCAATTTTGAGATCGCAATTCTGTTGTCAGGAGACTAAAGCACTCACTTACCAATTTTAACAAATAAATTCAACGTAATAAAAGCGTGGTTTTTTCAGAGAGAAAACATCGCATTCGATACTGATATCGAAACTGCACTCGAATGCGATATTTTCTTTCTGAAAAAACCACGCCTTTATTACGTTGAATTTCTTTGTTAAAATTGGTAAGTGAGTGCTTTAGTCTCCTGACAACAGAATTGCGATCTCAAAATTGGAGAAAAATGACGAGTAGCTGAAAAAATGGAACCAATTTATGCGATATATCGCATGCCGTTCTGACACAAAATATGGTGTCCATCGAATCACCTTAAAGGAGAACAAATTGACATCATTCCTTGAAGTTTATGCAAAATTTTTTTCGCACAGAGAAGAAAAATCTCAGCAGTTTTAAAGAACTGCCGTTGAGTAGTTTTCTGTTCGAGAAATAAAGTACGACAGGAAGTCTGCGACGTCTTAAACCGAGTTATGTGATTACCGACGTACGCCGTCGATATAGCTACGGTCGTGTTGTCAACGTGATTCTATACTGCAGATAAATCAATATTAAATAATGACGGTTTTGACATTGAAATATTTTAAAATCTCAGGAATGGTATTTATTCCGTTCGAAAAAGATAACTTCATATTTAATAAGTATCTTTTGGCGTGGCGCAACGGCGCACGGTGGATCGAGTCAATAGGAGAGGTCGGACAAAATTTCGAAACTTTGAACGCGCATAACTTCGTTTATACACAACTTTGAGGTTTTACAAGTGTTTGTGTTGGTGTCCTCGTAGAATTTTCTAAAATTTTCTTTAAAAACGTGACGAAATAATTATCAAAATTTCCAGTTTTAGTCAAAAATTTCCTGCCCAACCTCTCTGATCCACTGTGTGGCGCACGCCAAGGTGAAACGGTATTTTTGGTGATCTAAAAAATGATGTCCAAAAATCTAAAAAAGCCAAATATCTGTAATGTTCAGCAGACAAATAAGTCCAAAAGTAGGCAAATGTCCAAATTAATGGAAAGAGTATTTGTCCTTACGAGCAAAGTGACGTTGATACAGGAAGATGTTATGGACAAAAATACATTTTTTTTTTTTGGCTTTTCATAACAAACGGGGTAATATTAGTCATGTATGTTATGTTTGTCAATATCGCTTAAATTTTGGAAAATAAATCACTAATGCATTTTTATAAGTAAGAATTTGCCTGCTCTCATGAAAAGTTTTATCACCATTTTTTCTTAACCTGCACATCTTCATTATCCTACGCATCTGTTTCGAAGGCTGCATTCACAATCAGCTTGCCAACCTGCACCCAAAAATCCAATGACAACTCAACCAATGCCTAATCTCACATTTGGACATTTGCCTACTTTTGGACTTATTTGTCTGCTGGACATTACAGATATTTGGCCTTTTTAGATTTTTGGGCATTCAGGGTTTGGACATTTTGACTTTTGGACATTTTGACCTATACCGTATTTTTGCGTGTTTACTCAGATCGATAAACAATACAAGAGAATGTTTTTCGTTTTTTGCAGAAACGCTGGATGCGATGGATTTTTGTTGTGCGGATGCAACTCAATCAAAAAAAGTTTCTGGAATTTCAATCTGAGGCGACTCTCCCGAGGCCTCGAATCAGCTGCCCGCTTTAGAATATCAAGAGCAACATCAGGTGGAATGGTGTTTTGTAAACGTCATTTGGGTTCTTTACACGTTCGCCAGCCAGGCCTAGAGAAACGATGAAAATTTGCGACATGCCAGAAGAATTGGTTTTTTTAATTTATTAGAGAATTACACCTACAAGAAGTATTAAGTAATTTACACTTTAAAATTAGACTTAAGCTAGACAATATTACTAATAACTGGTGAGTTGATTTTTTTTTTTTTTTTTTTTTTTTTTTTTTTTTTTGTAGTTCTACCGGGAGGAAAAGTGGCGAATCTTCTCGAAGATATGACAATTTAAGCATCCTACTTCACTGGCTGTGTTATACATAGTCAGGGATTTCGACTCTCATCTGTTTCGCGCTACCACCCCAACATGGGGTGGGTTTCGGCCAGATGATTGTCTGGATGGTTAAACTATCATATGTTGGTTTGGCTCTAATTTAAATAAAAAGCTCTGATCAGGAGCTGGCTAGGGAGATCGGGGACCGAGGTCGAGCCGACCAACTAAACCAAACTCACGGCTGCATATCTGACCGGATAGTGCCGAAGTCTACCCTGGAGGGAGAGTCATCGGCTGGGACACTTTCTGTCCGGTGGGTGTTTTGGTGACTCGTATCAGGTGTTCTGCTTTTAATTAGGTTATTCAATTTAATTGATTTGGATTCCAAAATAGTTTTTATATATTCGTGAATTACGTTCCATTTATCCTGTGTATCCAGCATAATATTTATAATGTTCTATGGAGTTATACTATGGTTAAGTTTACTTTCGAGTTCAGTCCTTTCTGTTTTGAAAGTGTCATAGCCGAAAAAAGTATGTTCGGCAGTATCCTGGGCAGACAGGCATATAGGAGGCATTGCGGGGACGGGGAGAGTTTAACTTTAAAGAGATAGTGGGCGAAACTTCCATGACCTGACAAAAATTGGGTCAGGAAGTAATCCGTTTCACCACGAGTACGTTGTATCCATCTTTGAAGGGTGGGCATGAGCTTGTGAAGCCATTTGTCCTGTCCGTTATCTTTCTGTATCCATCTCTCGTTCCATCTTCGGTTGATGTTTTCTTCCACTTCTCTGGGGTCTTTCGTTTTACTCATAAGTCTCAACTTCCTTTTCACTAGCAGATCGGTTGGCGGGATGTCCGTAATGACATCCAGGCAGTTATTGCTTACTGTCCTGTACGCACTGCTGAGATATTTCTTCACAGGGCGGATGGTTGAGGTAAGTAATTTAAGATTGTATTTCTTATTACAGGAGGTAGCCCATACTTCAATTCCGTACCATGGTGGGTTGATATGCCCTATGGATTACTCGAGCCCTGGGACAGAGTCCGTGTATAAAATTTAGTTGTTCCAGGTGTCCCAGGCAGGCCGGAGAAGATGACCAATGATGGAAGAGAGACAGTCCTGGGTACAGCTAAAACATGAGAAGAAGAAATGAGTGGGTAAAGGATGGACGAAAAGGCTTTCTCGGGGCTTTAGAAGAAACGTTGCGTGACGCGCGACATGTAAAAGTACAAAACATGATGTTGCCTACTTAGGAGTAATGGGAGGGAAACAAATTCAAAATTGTTGACATGCTTGAAAATTTTCTTCAAGGAACATTCGATTTTCTGGATTGATAATTAATTTCAAAAAAGGGGAGTGGAAAAATACTCTTCTATCGTCAAAAACGAGAGACTGCATTTGACAGAATAGAAAGAAAAGATAGACAAAAATTGTGAAGATAGAAAATTGAAAAGATAGAGTATGACCAGAACCACCAAGCTGATCATTCTACCCGCCGGGATCTGATTGTGTCTTCAGACTTGGAAAATCACGCATCCCAGAGGCTGACCTGTGAGGAGCACACCGAGTTCATCTCGCAAAAAGCAGGGAAAGACGTCAAAATCCATTTTGCCGCCCGGAACTTTTTTTTTTTACCGTTTTTTACCCTGGTTATTGGTGGGAATTCGATCAATTTTACTCCTTAAAGATTTTTTTTTTACTAGCCGTTCTGGGCGCGCTTCGCGCGCCCGTCACGCCTAGCCGGGGGCTACGCCCCCTGGACCCCCGGTCACTCGCTGCGCGAGTGACATTCGGCTCGCTTTGCGAGCCGATTTTGTAGTAGTTGCACATTTTTTATCACTATATTTTGAAGATTTCATAGAAAACATTATGAAATTCTCACTCCACAATTAACTTGTAGAATAATAATGGCAGGGCAAGAAATAGACTATATCTTATGGACGGTTCCCACTTAGTAAAACAGCCAACACCACGAGAAGGTGAGGAACCATTGTTAGCCACTTTTTTTACTTTTCTGAAAAAATTTACTGAAATTTTAGTTGCGTCCCCTAAAAGGAAACACGGAGAAAAAAATTTTGTGCATGGAACCCGAAGCTGAGATCATATGGATCTCTGAAGTTTTCGGATCACGCATCCGAAAAGTTAAGGTCCATCTGCCGAAGTTCGGGTCAGACAATTGAAGTAGTTCGGTATATACCGAAGGTTTCAGGTCACACATCTGAAGTACTCGGTGCATACCGAAGTGTTTCAGATTTCTGACCCGAATTTCGGCAGCTGGACCTCAAGTTTTAAGAGATTCATATGATCTCAACGTCGGGTCCCATGCACGAAGTTTTTTCTCCGTGTGAGTATTAATATAAATTTCAACACAGTCAAACACAGTAGAGAACCAAGGAAATCACAGTAGAACAGAGAAAAAATACCGTCGAATAAATAAAGAAAACTATTATCGAAGAAATTCTAATTATTTGGAAAGTAATTCGCTGGCGTAATCAATGCGTAGCTGCGTAGGAGCATGAGCGAGATTTATCATCAACTGACCGCTGGCCGGTAGGTACCTGGGCGGGCGAGCGACAATAAGTAAAAGCGGTGGCATGGTTCGATTGACAGAGGAGTGGGGAACGGTCAGACGTAGGGGAAAGGTTCAGGCTGAACCGTTCAGCACAGCGCAGCGTCAGTCACCGGGTGGGGAAGAGAGTCCGGGAGGGGACACTTCCCCTCGAGTGAAATAGAAAAAGGCAGAATCCTTCGAAGTTTATATTAATGATGATGATGATGATTGTTTATTTGTCAACTAAACAGAGCTACCAACTGGTTACAATCATCAATGTCATCACTCCTTGAAGATTGCAAGTTTCATTGGGTTGGAATATAGTTTAGAATACAGATACATTAATCTACCAAACCAAGAAGAAGAAGAAAAATAAACAGGAAGGAAAAAATATGACGGATGTTCATCTTTCGGAATGGGATATTTGAAGGGCTAAAATGGAATGCGTGGTCACGGTGACTTTGGTCTCAGATGGAAGGACTAGGAAAGACGGCTAGCCCACGCTATACAGACTGGTTGACATCGAGGGTGGTAAGACGAGAAGTCTATGCGTGATTGGCTGGCTGTTCCATACGAAAGGAGTCTGACTTGGAATTGGTTTTTGCTGACTTCGGTCTCAGTTGGAAGGACCAGGGAGAGACGGGCAGTCCACGCTATACAGACTGGTTGACGTCAAAAGAGGTGAGACGAGAAGTCTATGTGTGATTGGCTGGCTGTTCCATACGAAAGGAGTCTGACTTGGAATCGGTTTTTGCTGACTTTGGTTTCAGTTGGAAGGATTGAGATAGCCACGCTGTGTAGACTAATTGACGTCAAGGGTAGTGAGACGTGAAGTCTACGTGTCAAGGAGTCTTACTTGCAAGTGAAGGAAGGCCATACACGGAATCAATTCGCATCACTGGAGGAGTAGTTGCTAAGATATAGTTGACAAAATTCTGTGAAATTCACCCACAAAGTATAAATCCAAGTATTCGGGCAACTGCATGGCCTGTCGAAATAGAGTGGGAGAGCGAAAATTAGGAAACTGAAGTAATATCTTTAAACATTCAGAAACTGATTTGATCAACTGCATGGCCTGTCGAAATAGAGTGGGAGAGCGAAAATTAGGAAACTGAAGTAATATCTTTAAACATTCAGAAACTGATTTGATCTGAGGGTCTTAAATTTGGACCGCGTTAAACAGAAAGGAACCAAGCCACATCAGCTATTGCCAAAAATTGGGCAATTTGAGTTTTTACATGAAAACGGTTGTGCGAATTTGTGTGCAAATTTCAGTCAATTTTCTGCATAGTAAGAAGCAAATTCCTTAAATTTTCAAAGGAATCCGCACGAATGTTCTCTCATAAAAAATTAAATTGCCCAATTAAATTTGGCAATAACTGATGTGGCTTGGTTCCTTTCGGTTAAACGCGGTTCATTTGATAATAAAGAAAATTAACAAATATGTTTTCATTTTTTACAATTTATTTCGTTGAAATGTTTCCCATGAAAAATAATGGCAAGTTTCTATTTTAAATTTGGAAAAGAAGCGGGGTTGTGGAACAGATGAAATAAAACAAGAAACGATTCAACAAGAGTTGAGACAAGCCAAGGCCAAGACCAGGAGTGAGTTTGAAGTCTTCGATCCGATTGGGCCGAGGCTCCCGACGAGATTCAATTGTTAACAAAAAAAAAAATAAAAAAGAGAAAACCGAAAGACATGCCATTAGCGCACTAAAAGGGTTGCAGGGATGCAGGGTGTTAAGTATCTAATGGCGCAAGATCGATATCTCCCGCTGCCTTCTTCGCGCTCCCATTCTCTCGATTTTCACGTTAAGTGTACGTATGTATATACCAATCTCTTGCAAATTTAATTGTCTTTGGACGAAAGTGGCGGGATTTTCGATATTTTGAACAGAAAAAAAGTTATGAGCGAAAAACGGGGGAAAACCGTAAATTTTAGTCGTTTTTTCAAAATGGCGGCCGGGGGGAGGGTCGGATCTGTCAGGCAAGTCGGAATTCGGATTCTACGACCCAAAAAACATAAAGTTAGCCCATAATTGCTAGTTCGACTAAACTTTCCCTCAAAACTCCTATTTTGAGCTCTATTGCCTGGACTACACAGGCATGCCATGAAGGTGTGCAGGTTGGAATGTATAACAATAAAAATGCACTGTGAGTTATGTGAGATTGCATTATGATTACATGTTGGAATTTTAATGGGCGTTCGACCTGCAACAGAGATCACGCGACAAGAAATGAATGAACGCTCATAAGGGTGATTAATAAGATTGATAAAAAGATATGAGGAATAAAAAAAAGGAAAGTGGGCATAAGTAAAAAAATTATGGAAAAATATGAGAAAAAAGAAAGAGGGGGAGGGATACCTTGCAACGGATAACTATACAAATTATAGACTTGATTGGAGCAAGTACAATGATGTAATGATGTTCTTGAAACTGAAGTGATAGAACTAGAATCAGAAAGCACATGAGAAATTATGCTGGTTTTCGGTTGTTTTTGCGAAAATTTTAACAAAAATTTTTCACAATTTTCTGAAGATAGGAATAAATTATTTACCGTGTTTAAGTTGAAAGTTGAGGTTTTTTAATTTTTAGGAGTTTATTGTGAACTTCTCCGAAAAACAGAATTGTACACATTGTTAATGTATTGAAATAAAGGTGAAATTGCAAACAACCGGGTAGTTTACATCATTTATACAATAGTATTTAAGGTGATTCGATGGACGCCATATTTTGTGTCGCAGAACGGCATGCGATATATCGCATCAATTGGTTCCAATTTTTCAGCTACTCGTCATTTTTCTCCAATTTTGAGATTGCAATTCTGTTGTCAGGAGACTGAAGCACTCACTTACCAATTTCTTTGTTAAAATTGGTAAGTGAGTGCTTTAGTCTCCTGACAACAGAATTGCGATCTCAAAATTGGAGAAAAATGACGAGTAGCTGCAAAATGGAACCAATTGATGCGATATATCGCATGCCGTTCTGACACACAATATGGCGTCCATCGAATCACCTTAATGTCAACTTATACCTATTGGCTCATCAGACCTCGGGGCTCGACGACTCCCAAGGTTTTATCCTCTTGAGGCGTCTCAATTCAGAGGAATTGTCCAATAACAGTACTGCCATGCTAAGGAAGAACGCCACATGAACATTCGAGAGTTGCCAAATTTCCTTTGACAAGGGTTGATTTGAACAACACCATTTTATTTGTAAGTGAATAAGGTGTTGTGTTCGATATTTTTTAATCACTGGAGTGCCTTTCGACTTATGCCATCTTCAGAGTACAAATTCTTTGGAGCATTGGAGCATACCGTCTTATTTCGAATTATAGAAGGAGGGCCATATTCACTTCCCACACTTCGAATTACAGTGAGAATTTTCGTCGCAATTTCGAATTATAGAGGGCCGCGCCAGCTTAAAAATTTCAAAATAACGAGGGGAGAAAAATACATTGATTTTCTTCGAATTATCGAGAGATTTTCAAGGGAAACAGACTTTCCTTCGAATTAACGAGGTTTTCAAATTATCGAGGTTCGAATTATCGAGAGTCCACTGTATTTCACTGGTAAAAAAAACCTCTTGGACCAATGCCGCATTGCATTAACTTAAGAATGCAGTTTCTTGTCGCCGGATTTAAGAGTCTTGAACTCTTGTTTCAAGCGGGTTTTGCATTGATTCAAGCGGATTTTGCATTGATTCAAGCGGATTTTGCATTGAAACAAGAGTCCAGACTCTTAAATCTGGCGACAAGAAACTGCACTCTTGAACCAAGAGGTTTTTTTTACCAGTTTTTACACAATTTAACAATATATTACATCGTGGACATCTCACGAAAAGTCTAAATTAAGAGAAAGTCAAATAAGTTCAGAGCGTTGCACCTATGAAAATCGTAAACATTCTTCATTCAATTGAAGTTCATTTCTTTCGTACCCACGCTCATCAATATTTTCTTGCCGAGATCCGGTGTTGAGGATGCCAGTGGCGTGGCGTGCTTTGCGATATATCGATTGATGCGCCACTGAAAGCTATGAAAAAAGATCGATTATCAGAGTGTTCGCAGCGAACACCTCAGTTATCGATTCTTTACCATAGCTTCAAATGGCGAGATATCGATAATCGATTATTCACGCCACGCCACCTTGAGGAGACGAACGCGAGTTAAGTCTGGTGAAAAATTAAAGCATGTTGGATAGTCTCTATTGCTTGCGCTTGTCCGCTGTCAAAACCGCGTATTCAATTATTCATAATGAAATGAACGTTGAACGTTGAACGCTGAACGTGGAGCGCTGAACGTAGATGTGGGCGCAAATTGATGTCATCAGTTTATTAGCTCGGAGGAAAAGAGAATTGCACTGTTGCCTCCTCAAAAAAAGAGGGAGACGGATTTTAAAGCAAAATTTTTATCATCGTTTGAGTACATGAGACGCGAAGCGCCTGCATAGACGTGCATTTGGATTGCATTTTTCAAAAAGGAACCACTAGCATTGCAATGTTGCTAAGATTGTGCAACTTCTCTTGTCTTGGAGGAAAAACCCAATTATCCATTAATATTTTCCATTTTACTCGCTAAAAACTGTGAATTTAAGACGAAAATTACCATCTGAATTTCATAATTTTTCACGATTTCTGCAATTTTATTGCAAAGGATGAAGTTGCACAATCTTAGCATCATTGCAATGCTAGTGGTTCCTTTTTGCAAAATGCAATCCAATTTAAGATGCCATCCATAAATTACGTGAGGCATTTTCCCCCATTTTCAGACCCCCCTCTCCCCTCGAAAGGAAACCGTAAAACGTTCCTTTCCCCCTCGAATGATTACGTAAAGCGCGACAGACCTCATCCCCCCCTTTCAATTATCTCAGATCTAAGCATTTCGTTCTCTTTCAGAAAAACAATGAAATTTTTAGGCCAAAATTTTTGTAAGTGAAACTAAATTTTTGAAGTAAGTCCATGGGAAGTATTAATGATACGATTAGTTTATTAAACAAAAAACGTGGAGCAAAATTGAAACATTTTTTCGTCTTCGGAATAGTTCAAAGTATAAAGTTGACATAAGGATGAAGTCACTACTCATCATCCCATGGAACGGAGAAGTGGGAATCAAGAAAAATGACAGGAGCATGGTCCGATCGGTTCAGCAATCGTTGATGTGCTCATTTCCTCTATTTCATCTTGAATTTTAGTCGGTAGCTCAGCCCTACCCTCCCTTCCCCTCTCGTATGGCACTGTAATGCTCTTAGAGCCCCCCCCCCCTAAGATCCTTATGTAATTTATGGACGATCCCTAAGAAAACCTTACGTCGCTGATCGCCATTTTCAAAGTTGCCTCTCTAATAACTCTTAAGTCTTGCTTTAGGTTACGCATCTATGTCTATCT